AAGAGAGAATGTAGTGAGAAAGAATAAAGTGAGAGAGAATGAAGTGAGAGATATAGGAGAACAGAACGAGTAGCATCATAGTGGGTGAGATAATGAAGAGACTATAAGAGAGAATAAAGGAAGAAAAAGAAACAGAAGCTGAAACCTCACCTTGGTGTCTGTGTCGTTTTTCCTGGACTCTGCTGGACAGAGTCCCGGCTCGCGACACTGATTTTAATGTAAATTCTTTGATATTTTCTCCATTTAGTAGGATGTTGGTCATGGGCCTGTCGTATATTGGTTTCATTATGTTGCGATGTCTCCTGTATCCCTCAATTCTGCATGACTTTTATCATGAATGGATGTTGGGTTATGTCAGTCATGTTTCCTTGCTAACCTGTCAGCCTCTCTGTCTTTTTCTTCCTGTGTTGTGGTGACTAACATCTCTATTACTTAAGCTAAAAATGAGAAGAGAGCAGACATTCTAGCTTTGTTTCCACAGTCAAGGGAAAGCACTCATTCTTTCCCCATTGAATATGATGTTAGGTGTTGTAAGTTTTGTAGCTCTCTTTATTGGCTTTAGGTAACACCCATCGTCCCTAGTTATGGAGAGTTTTCTACATATTGCATAATGAATTTTGTTAGAGGCTTTCTCTGATTTTCTTCTTAGGTCCTTAATGTGGTACATTACACTGATATTTTTGTGTGTACTGTGTGCATGTGTACATTTTTTTGTGTGAGTGTGTACACATATGCGCATGTGTGTGTAGAAGCCAGAGGTTGACACTCAGTAATCTTCCTCAGTGGCGCTCTCTCTATTTTGTAGTTTTAAGACAAGGTTTCTCATGGAACTTGGAGCTCACCAATTGGCTAGGCTGGCCAGGGGTATGGGTATGCCTTGCCCTGCTCTCGACACCAGCACTGGGTATGGCATAGGTATGTTCCTCTGTGCCAAACATTTATGTAGGTACATAAGGATCTCAAGTCCTCATGCTTGTGCAGCCAACATTTTATCAACTGAGCCACCTCCACAGCCCCTACAATGAAATGGGCTGGTAGTCCTGAAATAATTCTGTTTGGTCACAATGTGTTTATTTGTACAGATTCCTCTCATAGATGTTCTTGTGAATTTTTATAGTAGGCTAAATAATGTCTTCTAAAAGATATTTTGATCTCATCCTTACATGGCAGTATGTGAATGGACTTTATGTGTTGCGCCCACCCTGGCCAGCAAGGAAGACACAACCTCCGGTTCCTTCTCGTCAGCAATCTTTATTGCAGGAATCAAGTTGAGTTTCAGCGATGTCGCGGACGGCGAGCCCCGATCCACCTCGGGAGCAAGCTTATATATATTTCAGGCAGGGGAGAGAATTCTATCCCCATTGGAGGATTTACTGGCTGCCAACCGTCACCTTATAAGGAAGGCAAGCATACTAGTCCCCTTAGATTGGCCAAGCTGGCGTGTCATCTGTAACCAGGAAGAGACAGCTGGAACAGGATCGAGCTAAGATGGCGGAATGCGGAAGTATGTGGATGCTACCACAACAATCAACAGTCCAACCCAACCTTAATCCTAGCAACGATAGTGACTGGCATGGCAAACTACCTCTATTGGTGCTGTATTGGCACTGTTATACGGGGGCCATCAAAAATTATCTAATTGAACTTAAAACCCTCTCAATGGGAGCGAACTCATGGGTGGCACTGTAAACTCAACCAAATACTCATCACAGGACAGAACATTGATCCTAGAGAAAACTATT